GCTAAACATTGATTTTAAGAATACTTTGATTATTATTACAAGTCGAATGTTGAGCTGAATGTCGATTGTCTAGCTCGACATAAGAAATTATCGAATGTCTAGCTGATTGTTGATTGTCTAGCTAAACATTGATTTTAAGAATACTTTGATTATTATTACAAGTCGAATGTTGAGCTGAATGTCGATTGTCTAGCTCGACATAAGAAATTATCGAATGTCTAGCTGATTGTTGATTGTTTAGCTCAACATTCACTTTAAGAAAACCTCGATCATTATTATAGATCGAATGTTGAGCTGAATGTCGATTGTCTAGCTCGACATAAGAAATTTCTGAATGTCTAGCTGATTGTGGATTGTCTAGCTCAACATTCACATTGAAAATTCATTATTTTTCATTATAGATCGAATGTTGAGCTGAATGTCAATTGTCTAGCTCGACATAAGAAATAATCGAATGTCTAGCTGATTGTTGATTGTCTAGCTCAACATCCACTTTAAGAAAACCTCGATCATTATTATAGATCGAATGTTGAGCTGATTGTCGATTGTCTAGCTCGACATAAGAAATTTCCGAATGTCTAGCTAATTGTCGATTGTCTAGCTCAACATTCCCTTTGAAAATTCCTTGATTTGTTATTATAGATCGAATGTTGAGCTGAATGTCGATTGTCTAGCTCGGCATAAGATATTATCGAATGTCTAGCTGATTGTTGATTGTTTAGCTCAACATTCACTTTAAAGATACTTTGATAATTATTACAGGTCGAATGTTGAGCTGAATGTTGATTGTCTAGCTCGACATAAGAAATTTTCGAATGTCTAGCTGATTGTTGATTGTCTAGCTAAACATTGATTTTAAGAATACTTTGATTATTATTACAAGTCGAATGTTGAGCTGAATGTCGATTGTCTAGCTCGACATAAGAAATTATCGAATGTCTAGCTGATTGTTGATTGTCTAGCTCAACATTCACTTTAAGAAAACCTCGATCATTATTATAGATCGAATGTTGAGCTGAATGTCGATTGTCTAGCTCGACATAAGAAATTATCGAATGTCTAGCTGATTGATGATTGTCTAGCTCAACATTCACTTTAAGGATACTTTGATAATTATTACAGGTCGAATGTTGAGCTGAATGTTGATTGTCTAGCTCGACATAAGAAATTTTCGAATGTCTAGCTGATTGTTGATTGTCTAGCTCAACATTCAATTTGAGAATTGTTTGATTATTATTATAGATCGAATGTTGAGCTGAATGTTGATTGTCTAGCTCGGCATAAGAAATTATCGAATGTCTAGCTGATTGTTGATTGTCTAGCTCAACATTCAATTTAAGAATACTTTGATAATTATTACAGGTCGAATGTTGAGCTGAATGTTGATTCTCTAGCTCGACATAAGAAATTTTCAAATGTCTAGCTGATTGTTGATTGTCTAGCTAAACATTGATTTTAAGAATACTTTGATTATTATTACAAGTCGAATGTTGAGCTGAATGTCGATTGTCTAGCTCGACATAAGAAATTATCGAATGTCTAGCTGATTGTTGATTGTCTAGCTCAACATCCACTTTAAGAAAACCTCGATCATTATTATAGATCGAATGTTGAGCTGATTGTCGATTGTCTAGCTCGACATTAGACATTTCCGAATGTCTAGCTAATTGTCGATTGTCTAGCTCAACATTCCCCTTGAAAATTCCTTGATTTTTATTATAGATCGAATGTTGAGCTGAATGTCGATTGTCTAGCTCGGCATAAGATATTATCGAATGTCTAGCTGATTGTTGATTGTTTAGCTCAACATTCACTTTAAAGATACTTTGATAATTACTACAGGTCGAATGTTGAGCTGAATGTTGATTGTCTAGCTTGACATAAGAAATTTTCGAATGTCTAGCTGATTGTTGATTGTCTAGCTAAACATTGATTTTAAGAATACTTTGATTATTATTACAAGTCGAATGTTGAGCTGAATGTCGATTGTCTAGCTCGACATAAGAAATTATCGAATGTCTAGCTGATTGTTGATTGTCTAGCTCAGCATTCACTTTAAGAAAACCTCGATCATTATTATAGATCGAATGTTGAGCTGAATGTCGATTGTCTAGCCCGACATAAGAAATTATCGAATGTCTAGGTGATTGATGATTGTCTAGCTCAATATTCACTTTAAGGATACTTTGATAATTATTACAGGTCGAATGTTGAGCTGAATGTTGATTGTCTAGCTCGACATAAGAAATTTTCGAATGTCTAGCTGATTGTTGATTGTCTAGCTCAACATTCAATTTGAATATTGTTTGATTATTATTATAGATCGAATGTTGAACTGAATGTTGATTGTCTAGCTCGGCATAAGAAATTATCGAATGTCTAGCTGATTGTTGATTGTCTAGCTCAACATTCAATTTAAGAATACTTTGATAATTATTACAGGTCGAATGTTGAGCTGAATGTTGATTGTCTAGCTCGACATAAGAAATTTTCAAATGTCTAGCTGATTGTTGATTGTCTAGCTAAACATTGATTTTAAGAATACTTTGATTATTATTACAAGTCGAATGTTGAGCTGAATGTCGATTGTCTAGCTCGACATAAAAAATTATCGAATGTATAGCTGATTGTTGATTGTCTAGCTAAACATTGATTTTAAGAATACTTTGATTATTATTACAAGTCGAATGTTGAGCTGAATGTCGATTGTCTAGCTCGACATAAGAAATTATCGAATGTCTAGCTGATTGTTGATTGTCTAGCTCAACATTCACTTTAAGAAAACCTCGATCATTATTATAGATCGAATGTTGAGCTGAATATCGATTGTCTAGCTCGACATAAGAAATTATCGAACGTCTAGCTGATTGTTGATTGTCTAGCTCAACATTCACTTTAAGGATACTTTGATAATTATTACAGGTCGAATGTTGAGCTGAATGTTGATTGTCTAGCTCGACATAAGAAATTTTCGAATGTCTAGCTGATTGTTGATTGTCTAGCTTAACATTGATTTTAAGAATACTTTGATTATTATTACAAGTCGAATGTTGAGCTGAATGTCGATTGTCTAGCTCGACATAAGAAATTTTCGAATGTCTAGCTGATTGTTGATTGTCTAGCTAAACATTGATTTTAAGAATACTTTGATTATTATTACAAGTCGAATGTTGATCTGAATGTCGATTGTCTAGCTCGACATAAGAAATTATCGAATGTCTAGCTGATTGTTGATTGTCTAGCTCAACATCCACTTTAAGAAAACCTCGATCATTATTATAGATCGAATGTTGAGCTGAATGTCGATTGTCTAGCTCGACATAAGACATTTCGGAATGTCTAGCTAATTGTCGATTGTCTAGCTCAACATTCCCTTTGAAAATTCCTTGATTTTTATTATAGATCGAATGTTGAGCTGAATGTCGATTGTCAAGCTCGGCATAAGATATTATGGAATGTCTAGCTGATTGTTGATTGTCTAGCTCAACATTCACTTTAAGGATACTTTGATAATTATTACAGGTCGAATGTTGAGCTGAATGTTGATTGTCTAGCTCGACATAAGAATTTTATGAATGTCTAGCTGATTGTTAATTGTCTAGCTAACCATTGATTTTAAGAATACTTTGATTATTATTACAAGTCGAATTTTGAGCTGAATGTCGATTGTCTAGCTCGACATAAGAAATTATCGAATGTCTAGCTGATTGTTGATTGCCTAGCTCAACATTCACTTTAAGAAAACCTTGATCATTATTATAGATCGAATGTTGAGCTGAATGTCGATTGTCTAGCTCGACATAAGAAATTATCGAATGTCTAGCTGATTGTTGATTGTCTAGCTTAACATTCACTTTAAGGATACTTTGATAATTATTACAGGTCGAATGTTGAGCTGAATGTTGATTGTCTAGCTCGACATAAGAAATTTTCGAATGTCTAGCTGATTGTTGATTGTCTAGCTCAACATTCACTTTGAGAAAACATCGATCATTATTATAGATCGAATGTTGAGCTGAATGTTGATTGTCTAGCTCAACATTCACTTTGAAAATTCTTTGATATTTATTATAGATCGAATGTTGAGCTGAATGTTGATTGTCTAGCTCGACATAAGAAATTTTCGAATGTCTAACTGATTGTTGATTGTCTAGCTCAACATTCACTTTGAGAATTGTTTGATTATTATTATAGATCGAATGTTGAGCTGAATGTTGATTGTCTAGCTAGGCATTGAATGTCGATTGTTGATTGTTGATTGTTTAGCCAAGTTATTGCACATCTAGTTTTTCCATGTTAACATGTGGTCTTCTGTCTAATTTTGGTGAAAAATTGTTGTTTTGTAACATTTATATTTTTTTAGTTAACCCTTTCCCCCATGAGCATATCGTGAAAAATGGCCATTTTAACTGAAAAGCCTCCTCTTACAAGTTCAAACTGCTATGAAACTATGAAAAATGCTTCAATACTAATCAAACTTGGCACAAATGTTGACTGGACCATTGCCTTTGTAACGACATGCTCAGTCTTAAATTTCCTGTTACCATGGCAACGAGGGGACCTCTCAAAATTGCCAAAAATCACTATTTTGCCTCGATTTTTTCCATCAAAATTTATTTCAAAGTGCTGCAACTTTTCAATGGATTGAGATAGAGTCAAAGGCTTTTCAGCGTTGGTTACACGTTACTTTATGATCAACCTGGGGTCATTTTAAGCCTCTCACAAGTCCAAAATTTTCTTGGCGATGAGGGGGACTCCGCCCCCCTTCAAACCCCCCAAACAGAAGGGGGCACACCCCCCTTCTGGCAACCCCCTGATGTATTATTTGGATGGGGGACGGCGCCGAAAAAATGGTCACTTTTTTTAACAACATTTCTCAAACGAAAAACAGTGTTTGGGGTCTAAATAGGACATTTTTTCACTGTTTGAGGCCTCAAAAAGGGGGGGGGGGGAAAAAGCCGTCGAAACACGCTTATATAAGGGAAAAGGTTAAACACACATGGATATTGTATGTAAACTGGAAAAATATTACAGAACAAAATAGCATGCTCTTATGTAAATTATGGTTTTAACCATTAAGCAATTATGAAGAGTATGTGTCATTCACAAAGGAAATATACAAAACGTATTTCTACACCAATTATAAAATGGTGATATGTAGTGGAAACACAAACAAAGAAACACCTGAATAATGGAATTGATGAAATAATGACTTACTTAGTCAGCTTAGTCGGCTTGTCAGATTTATTTCCCGCTAAAACAAAAATGACGAGAGTGACGATTATGAGAAATTATATTTAACATAATGATATAAAACGCATGTTCGACTTTCTAAAAGGCAAAAATGTACATTTTAATAAAATTTCTTTTACGAAATTTAACTGAAAAGTAACCATTTCAAAGAAAATTATATGAAATGAACCCCACCTGTGTTTTCACCTTTTCGTCTCAGTAATATTGTAACATAACCAGCATATGCCACGACTACCACGATAATTATTCCAAGAACAATTCCTACAATCACTGCTTTTATGTCATTATTAGCCGCGCCGTTGTTGCAATCACATACCACTGGTTTGTCTGTAAGTTAATAGAAATGTTCAAAATTTAAGCAATTCATTCCAGTCACTCTAACTATTTTCTGTCTAGTAATGATTAAAAAATCTATTAAAATATTTTGATACCCCTTGTTTTAGCTGTAAGTGTAATATAAATCTATTGGAAAATATTTTGTTCCATTGATTCAAATATTTTAAGCGATAATGTTTACTTTTAATGAAAAGGGTAATCAAAATGGTTGGAAACTGTAAATATTGTCACTGCCTTTACAAGGGCATTTTAAGTTTATCAATATATGTAAACGACAATCAATGCTACTGATACTAAAACAAACACATTTTAAACATGACAGGTTTATGCATCTTCATGTATCTATATATCTAAAACACAAATTGTGTCCATTAGACACGGGGTTCTCTCACATTCCGATGTTTTGTCTGTATACGGACGAATTGTGTGACAACGGGAGGAACGGTATGTCTACATCCCCAACCTTAGTGAATGAGGCATAAAAAGGAACATAACAGATAGTCGTGCAGACATAAAAACTACATTAAGACATAGCGAAAACAAAGATTTATTTCTTCTCAACAATACTAGCTGACCTTTTGTCTTGACAAGCATAATTTCAGATTCTTCCGAATTTCCCAGCACATTTGCTGCATATAGCATAATCTCGTAGTATGTCCCGCTTGATAAACCGGAAACAGTGTAGGTCATTTCATATTCCCCTATGTCAGATACTGATACATTATTCCATTTATCATCTGATACTGTTTTATACATTAATATAAACGTCTGTTGGTGGCCATTGTTATTTCCAGGATTCCATGTCACAGTAAGTGAACTTTCTGTACTCAATTGTTTTGCAAGAATAAAATTCGTAGGTACATCTGGTGGTTTATCTGCAATGATAATAAAAAATAGAGTGCTATTTCTCTATGATCGTTTGCTTACACAAACTCAATCAAACCGAGTCTGCAATTATCATATAATACACGATCGTATTGTTGTTTTTATTGCTTCTGAGGATAGCCACTTCTCCAGAAGTCTGTTTTATCATCGTTCCATCTGCCGTAGAATATATTTTGTCGAAGACATGTCGCAGACCGATAAGAACCGCTTTATGAAAGTTTGTCGTAGCCAAACGTCGCACATCTGCCACAGGGTTAGGGCTGTCGTAAGACGTTTGAATGACGTCAGACTTTTGTTCGCTGTTAACATCTCTACATATTTAGCATATATATTCAAATTTTAGGAATCAGGGAGTACGAAACGAAAGGTTTTTCGAGAGTATGTGGAGGATATTCAATCTTATTTTTCTAAAAATTCCGCAGATATCAACGCAGTATATAATGTAAAAGCAAGTGATTTGTAATTGGTTAAATCAGTCTTGGTATTAAACAGAAAAATAGCTCTGATGTAAAAAGTTACCAAATTACTTAACATTTTAACTCAGATAATTTTAAATTATTCAGTCATACTTACTTTCCAAGACATGTTCAATCACCCATGATTGAAATGATCCTGTCAGTCCGTTATAAATCATCAATTTGTAGTTAACAAAATCTGATTCTTCCACATTTTTTATTTGAAGTTGAGCAAGGTATCCGTCTAGCTCCACTTCCTGTCTATAAAACACATCTTTAACAAATTCTTTAAAGAGCCTGACTGTATGTTTGCTAGAGTTTGTTATAACAGATCCATTTGGGAATGTGAATTGTACAGTGTGAGGTCGAGGATTTATATAGAATGGCACTGTTATATTAGTCGTTAGTCCGAGGTGCCCTAAGATTTTTCTTTTACTTGTCGGGAGAAGCACCTTAGGTGACACTGTAATATATCAGATAGTTTTTATTATACAAGAATATTTATAATCCAATGCATGAGTATTTGAATAGTTAAAGTTACAGAACCGATATTGATCATTCCATATCTAAGTTTTATTTGATTAAAAAGATTATATCAGAATAAAAACTAAGTCAAAATCGTAAGAAAAATAATGACATGTATTCTATTTGAATAATCATAAATAACTGCCCTTGTTGCTATACTATTGTGCACCTGAAGACCATACAATCCATTTGCATACCATTCAACATTGAGATCTTTTAACTTAATCATTTCGAAAAAGAATTTCTAATTGTTATAAAAGAAATAGATATTCGATACAAAAGTTCAACTTACCCAAAATATTTACAGTGATGTTTCCACTTTGATCAAGCCGATCGTTCCTGTCTCGAATGCCATTGTTTGCTTTACATATATAAGTACCACTATCGTGAAGTTGTACATTTTCTATAACTATAACACCATTGTTTGAACTATGTGTGTTATGGACAATAATAGATCCCAATTTTTGCACAAACGAGGTAAAATGATAATTTGCTGGTCGTCCTTCGGGTTTACATTTTATTGTCAAAGACGTGTTTTCCACTGGATACGTATTGTTTACAACAACAATGACATCTGGTGCATCTGAAAATAAATTCATTAATCATCCTTTCATGCACAAAGATTATAAAACTTACTATAAATCTCTCACCAGTAAATTATAACAAAAATTTGCACTTGGAATTCAAATAAGAATGGAAAATTTATTAATGAAAGAAATATGTATTACTATATTCGCTGCGGTGCACTCCTTTTCACAGGTTGTCCTCAATGCTTTTTATATGGAAATAATGATCAAATGATTTTCAGTCACTTTTAAATATGAAATAAATATTTTTTGTAATAAAAATATTTCACCCAAAGATGACAATAGTATACATCTTTAAATGAGTCTGACATTTAATGTTTACTATAAACTTTAAAGACAATCATCAGTACACTTATATAACTTACAGTTTACGGAGACTTCTACTTCTTCTTCAGTAACAAAGTTATGACTTGGGTAATAAATTGATGTTGCTGTAGCTCTACACGTGAAGTTACCATGGTCCGTTCTATCTATATCAGCAAATGACAAAGTATGGCCACTAGATTGTTGTCTCACCCAACTTACTATTGGTGTTGGATTTCCAGTGGTATTACACGTAACAGACACCGTTTGTCCTTCATTTCTTGTTATGGTTGTAACTGGTTTCCCATCGGTCAAAATTTGAACTCTTGGAGAATCTGTACATATTTGTGCATAGAATGTTAAATATATGTATAACGGAAGAAACTGGTTAGATATCTTGTAGTTTTTTATTTGCTTTTTAGCTCATCTGTCACAAAGTGACAGGGTGAGCTATGGTGATCACTTTTCGTCCGGCGTCCGTCCGTCCGTCGTCCGTAAAGTTTTACTTTAAATGACATCTCCTCATAAACCACCAAGCCAATTTCATCCAAACTTCACAGGAATGGGTGGTCACCTTTGAAAATTGTTCAAAGAATTTAATTCCATGCAGAACTCTGGTTGCCATGGCAACCAAAAGAAAAAACTTTAAATATCTTCTCCTAAAAAAACCAAAGAGCTAGAGCTTAGATATTTGGCATGAAACATCTTCTAGTGAGTGTCTACCAAGTTTGTTCAAACAAAAGCCCTGGGGTCAATATTGGCCCCCAGGGGGTCATTTATTTCCCCTATATGCATATAGTAAAAACTTTAAAAAATCTTCTTTTAAAGAACCGAAAGAGCTAGAGCTAAGATATTTAGCATGAAACATCTTCTTATGGGTGTCTACCAATTTTGTTCAAATAAAAGCCCTGGGGTCAAAATTGGCCCCGCCCAAGGGGGGGGTGATTTTACCTATATGCATATAATAAAAACTTAAAAGACTTCTTTTAAAGAACCCAAAGAGCTAGAGCTAAGACATTTAGCATGAAACATGTTCTAATGGATGTCTACTAAGTTTGTTCAAATAAAAGCCCTGGGGTCAAAATTGGCCCCGCCCCGGGGGTCATTGATAGTCCTAATATACGTATAGCAAAAACTTAAACAATCTTTTTTGAAAAGAAACCAAATAGCTAAGGGTTAGATACTAAGCATGAAACATCTTCTAGTGAGTGTCTACCAAGTTTGTTCAAATAAAAGCCCTGGGGTTTAAACTGGCCCGCTCCAGGGGTCTATATACAGGTGAGCGACTTCAGGGCCATCATGGCCCTCTTATTTTTATTTGTTTTTGTTGCTTTTTTATTATTGTTTATTTATTTCAGTATTTCTGTAATAAAATAAACATCTAAATCCATGAAAAATCTTGTATGTAGCTTTGAATTATCTACATTGTAACAGTTTGTTATTATTGATACCATCTATAAATATTGTAAATGACAACGAAGGCAGCTTGGCTTTGTTAAAAGAACAACAACGGGTACGGTGAATTATGAAATATGAATGAAACTTTTTTTAGTACATTGTATTACGAACGCTAGATGTGGTAAAATTTTGATATTTGGTTTTTAAAGACTGGCCATTTTTGTAATGTAAAAAAGAAACATAGTCTCTTACATTCAACTTGTAATAGTACTTGTTTGGACTGGATCTGAAGACCTTTCCTCTGTGTAAAGAAATTCTGCAACTGACATTTTACTGGACTTCTATCAACCTGATATGTTAGTTTAGGTAACCTTAGTGTTCTTGTATCAGCGCTATCAGGTGTTCCAAATTGTGCGGTCCATGTTGCTATAGCTGTAGGATTTCCATAATCAGATGAGGAACAATAAATACTCTTTCCTGTCTGACCTTCTAGAAATGGAAATCTGCTTGTTGATATAACAGGTGACACTGGTGGCCCTATGAATAAAACAGTAATGATGATTAATTTATACTATTTATCAAAGTCAAAAAGACACAAAAATGGAGACACAAAAATAAGACAACAGCGATTCAGCAAACTAATAGTAAAAATTCAATGGTTTATTAGTTATTCCATAATAATTATCTCCAAATTATGTCTTAAACACTGGACATGTTTCTTAGTCGTCATTTATTGTAGTTTTCGCTGCAGTATTCAAAACCTAAGCATTCATGGAAAAGATACCTTTTTAAATCTAAAAAATAGTATAAACAAAACTTTAAGTCTATCGTCTGTAAATTCTGAATATCTTTAAAACTACAAAGCAGTATTCTTTTTATATTATTTTCTACAACAGCAATAATGCTCTGAATGATGATTTTGTGTACATATATTCTTTTCAAATAATAACACAACTGGACATTTTGTTTTTATTTTACACACACCATAAATAAAAATGATATACTAGTTTTTTTTTCATTCACTTACAATACACAGTTATCTTTTCTTGAACCTTCACTAAATTTTGCCCAGGTATTGCGGTTTCACAGTATATTGTTTTGTTGTTATCAGTTCCTTTTGCTGTAAATGTTACAATACTTGTAACAGATTTAAGATCATTTCCATGACTATGTTCTGTATTCTGTACATCAGTCAATGTTTGAGTACCCAGCTTCCATGTTACTATAGCAACAGGTCGTGTTTGAGAGGAGGTGCATTGATATTTTATTTGATCTCCTTCTAACTTTTCTGTTGTAAGATTTGTGATTGTAGGAGTGGTAGCTAATACTGAAAATATGACAATAATATCTGTCAAAAAAGAATAAAATAAAAGTATATCCCATACAGCTAACTTTCTAGAAAATCTAGCCTATACTTTTTAAAGGTAAGCTATATATATTATGGTGTATTATAATTTGTTCCGTAAGCTTTCATACTCATGGTTTTTTATTTTTCTGGTTTTATGCAATTTTAACACAATTGTCTTGTCATATCATGGCGGTTGATGGACTTTGTGGGCTTTCCTGAGTAACTAACATTAATTATCAATTTCTCCTGCAAGTGAATTATTGCCATTTCTAAATCAGCGGTGTTAGACGTAGGACAATTAGGCTCTTCCTTGCGCCCTGTCTTGTTTTTGTTTGGGGTATAAGTATTAAAACTTATAAAGCATTTTCTTACAGATTGAAGGTAAAATTGAGACAAGTCAGCAATAGTAATGTAAAGAAAATCTCAACCTTTAACATAAAGTGATATTCTGCTTGAAAACACATCTGGATTTCCTGACTGTGAAGCTTTACAATATACTTGTTTGTTATGGTCGGATATAACTGGTGTAAATGTTAATGTAGACACTGTGACAATCTCCCTTTTCTTCTCATCATTTTCTCCTATATACCAGATAATTGTGGCAGTAGGTCTGCTTTCACTTGCTGTACATGTTAATGTTTTAGATAAACCATTTGTTTCTTCTAGTGTTCCTGGTGGTATAGTGTTGCCATCCTTTAGTGTAACATTAGCTACCTTTACTGAAGTGTGTAAAATGTTTTACTATAGTTAGATCACCCAAGATAATGTTTTTTATTGAACAGTAGTATCTAAGTGAGTGTAATCAACACACATATTAATTCTTTTTCGCTCTGTGTAATGCAAAGATTTTCATTTCGAAAAAAGAGTATTACAAAAAAATATCAGTGTCTATGAAATTGCAAATGAGAATCATTTTATTTAAAAAATAAGTAAGTATAATCTACCGTCACCTTTGTTCTCCTTCAGAAATTTCAGAGAGTTTCTAGGACTTTTCATTAAATATCATATCAAGGCGCGACTACATAGATTAAGTTGTTCTGCATGAAACTTAAAATTGTTCTCAAGTAAGGAGCCAGAATTTTTCAAAATCAATTATAAGTTACCATAAAAGGTTTAAGATATATAGGGTTTTTTTGCAGCGCTTAACAGATTTGCCATTTGGAAATAAAATTGCGTAGCGCAATTATAAATCTTTTATCTAAGCTCAGTTATACAAAAACAGTTTTCATAATGTACATTGCAAACCTCACAGCAAATTTGTTTCTAAAGTATTCTGAACTTAACGCAAATATAAAAGTAAAAAGTGTTTGTTTCCAGTTTATTGTAGTGCATATTTATTATTCTTTAAATTGGGATGAAAAGAATGTTTTAGGACTGGAAATACCTTTTACATAAAGTGACACAATGTTTGAAGACACGGCTTGGTTTTCTGACTGTATATTAAATGCTTTACAGTAAACTTGTTTCTGATTATCCGAATATTCTGGCGTGAATGTAAAACTAGATGTCCTAGTAGTTTCTCTTTTCTTTTCCTGGCCTCCAAAATACCAGATGATAGTTGCTGTTGGTCTGCTGACACTTGATGTACATGTCAATGTATGAGGTTCCCCACTGTTTACTTCTAATGAATTAGATGGAACTGAATTACCATCTTTTAATGTCACTGTTGATACACGTACTGAAGCAAAACGTAACCTTTATTATTTAGAATAACATAACTTGTGGTAATGCATATGGATGTTGTTTGAGTGACATGTCTATCAGCAAATTATAATGACATATTATTTTAACATTGTTAACAAATTGATAAAACGTGATTATTTCTTTATTCAAAAGACAACCTTTTATCATAAATTTGATTATACAATTGATTTGGCTAAATAAAATTTAAAAGTATTTTGTCTGTTGAAATTTGTGTAGAATAAATAATAGAACAACGTATTTTTGTGCTATTTGAGTCCGATTTGAGTTGAAAACATTGCAACGCTTTCATTTTAAAATAAATTTTCACAATTAGAAAAAACACTCTTGTATAAAACGGAGTGAGCAAGTGATCTGCAATTTTGCATTAAAGTAATTGGTCCAGAGCTTTATCAAATGGAACATATAAAATCGAAAAATTATTACAATTCGCATTATATCAAATATCCTCAATGCACTCTTATTATAAAACCCACATTTTATTGTTTGATAATTTTGCAACACAAAATAATTGCTTATGTTTTTCTTTCTAGATTTTCGATAATTTGTTTCAACATTGTAGCGAAGAAAACAAGAAACACCTTAAATGGTGCATTATAGCGAAATTTATCAAATGGTAATGTAGCAGAATTATGGAGTAAATATGCACTTATTATGTTCACCATAATCATCCTTTAAGGAATAATAGTTTCAAAAATGTCGAAACAAATTGTTTAAAAGATTGTTTAAGATTATATACTATACTTTCTCAATATTTCAAATGTGTATTTCTTCGTTATAGAAAATCCGCCATCTGACCAAAAAGTGGTGTTTGTGTAAAGAGATAGTTCATCAGAATGTAACATATTAGCTCTTTTATTTGTTAGAAAAAATACAGAATTTGTACCTGCAAATCTAACGTCAACAGACGCTGGTGTAAAAAGTTGATCTTCTGCTCCACTAATTGATATAGCACCACACTGAAACTTCACAGTTGTATCTGTATTGTCAGTAAACACTGTATATCTTGACAGAGTTAATGTAGATGTATATATTTTCTCAGAATCAGTACAATCACCAGTCCTATCTGTTACAGGGGCTGTTGTTGACCACTCTTGACGTGACCCACTTGTCTGTAAATATAACAAGTATTATCATTTCCAAAAATTCTAGGGATCACCATTTACCCAGGAATTCGAAAAATATTTTTTCTTCCTGAACTATTAATAGACCTTATGTTTCTTCTTTTAAGAAAAATACCCTATATATATTTTAACCTCGAAGACGCCTACACACTTGTTTTTAGTTTTGTACATAAAATAGGATTTCGTCTCTGTATAAAGGTAATCCGACAAAAGTATGGCAGTTGACATGCCCCGTAGGCGCCCTTTATTTGAGATATTTTGTCCTCTATTTTATTATTATTATTATCTTTGGTATTAATTTCTCCGATTTGAAATGGTCAAATCTTGTTAATTGTATGGTAGGTATATAAGACCCTTTCATTTAAGACCGTATTCAAGTTGTCGCCCTTGGATGACGTCATTGGGGGATACGGTGGACAATGTACAATAATAGAGGGATATAAAGGTTTTAATCCTTTCTCTTGTAAGATTTGCATATTTAAATTGTCAAAATTGTGTGTCATTGAATAGGATATATCATAAAAAGGATGGTGAAACAAAAAAAAAATGTTTACTTTGATTTGTTTTAATTGTATACCATATATTGCAGGGTAACTGATCATGATTACCATTTTCGTTAGATTATTTATAATGAAAATTTTGCCAGGCAGTTAAATCATATAAACCTGCTTATATATACCAGATATATAGATAATGTATCTATGTTTCTGCTTATGTACAATATCCAAAAGATATTCTGAGTTATACTGTAGTTTCGAAATTGCAAGAATTGCAAGATGCTGGTTAATTAAAAATCATTTTGATTTAAGCAATACCTGGGATGTACTACCGTATGTTCCAGGCAATACTAAGACAAAGAAAATCAACAATATAAATCTATGTAATTTCAAAAAAATGTAAAGACATAAAAAGTAAAAATTCTTTTGAATGTACATGACTGTATACTCTTTGTGTCTCTCAAAAAATCGTACATCACACCAATATATTGAAGCTAGTAAAGTAATATTTTCAACTTGATACTTTTTATTCATACTCTGCTTATCAAATATTTAAAAAAAAAATCACAAAAAAAAAAAAAAAAAAAAAAAAACAAGTTTGAAACACGTTCACAAAAATTCGTTATTAAAGTTTTACGTATTTTTGACTGTGCCAGTTGGTAGGTTGGATCGAGTATCAAATCAGTAAGGCATGACCAATTAAGTCCCTATAGGATGATCCATAACAAAATGCATGCCGACCATAAATATTTTGACAACTAACAAAAGTGACGTAATCTGATGTAATGTTGTAACTCTAAAAAATGCACCCTGGTGATTTATGATATCACAGTCAACTGTCGCTTGTATGATAAGCTTGAAAAAACAATCATTAAAAGACATTGACAATCTCATTTTCATGTTTTGTCACAAATACGCCGGAATTTTCTAAATGACGGATAATAACACAGGAAACTAGAAAATAGCCATTTAAATTAATAATAGGCAATTTCAGTGTGAATGGGTGTTTATGAAATATTAAAATTTGTTTTAGTGACTAGCTTTTATCCTAGCATTAGAGAAAATCTATATCTATTTACTCAACATCACTAATTCCGCGTCATCACTTATCTCACGGTAATGGCATATTTTCATGTAACCATTGACATAATTGGTCAGAATTGACATATTTTATTCAAACACCTTAACAACAAAGTTTTGTGCAAAATAGTTTAAATCTATAGATTTTTACGTAAAACTGAACAACATTTTACAAACTTCTGCAAAAAACAACAATAGTCCATTAAATTTGTGCATACGTCTGAAACAATCATTAATTTCTAAATGTTCTTGTTTGTTGAAAAAATAAATTTTGTGTTACAACGTAAAGATACTTTTAATATTTAAAATTATGCAAAATAACATAAAGAAATTTTAACTGAAACATGATAAAAACTGAAATAGAACACCATTACCGCGAGTTAAATGATGACATACTGTTTTCAAAATGGCCGACACACGGTCTACATCTGACAAATTAAAACTAATTTTGATTGAATATATTGTTGTTTCCTTGTGTCTTATAGCAGAAAAATGACTAAATGATACAGTTTATGACAGTTTTTGTAGTGTAAGTTTATTGTTTGTGTTCTTTACTGTTTTAAAGTGTTAAGTACCGTGAACTAAGAGGAGCACAGTATATATAACAAATATATTCACTTTCAAATTTCGTTGTTTCACTCCGTAGCGAGAATTAATCTCAATCTTAGTTTATGCATTTTTTTTATATTGTCTTGATATTGAATTTATGTATGCATGCGTTAATTTTTATATGTTATAATCATAACTGAACGATCAGTATAAATTTACGCATTTAACTTTTCAATAAGCTATATATATAAAATTCCATGCGGCCTGCATAGTTTTATCCCCCATTTACGTCATATCCGGTAAGGGAAGTTACTCTTCCCTGACTGTTATCGCTTAAATGAAAGGGTATTACCTTCTCACTTCCCCTCGAAGCGTGCTCGTCGTTGAGTGGAGAATTTTGGATGGCGTAAATAAATAAATAAAGACCAGATCTTGTATCTGCGGACCAGCTGCCGGTGTCTTGACTAATGCCGAGGGGGTGGTCTTCCAAAGTAGGCAGAGACGACGAGGATGGTGTGCTAGGGTGCATTTATAATAGCCCCTAGGACAGATAGACGTTTTGCTAGGCACCAACAGCCCCTTTAATAGCTACCACCTTTCATTATTGTCCCAGGTTACTGTACATTTAGGTTCCCATTGACCGCCGTACAGTTAACTACTTTTGGCACAACATTCATACCTCGTGGAAATTGCATGGAGGTAAATTATCACCACTTTGTGTTTAAAATAAAATCTTTAAAGGCATTACTAATGATATGTCCAGTGTCCGTACTCGACAGCGAAAGCTGCTTTTTGTGCCTTACCGAGCGGATGCACACACACGCATGCACGCGCGCATGCAAACACGCATGTATGTACACATGTACACCTCTTTCTCACTGTTTTACGTTATTTTGTACCCGTTTGTATATTAATGTCAAAAACTTAAACGGAATTCTATAATATTCTCCTTTGAACGAAGTGAAATGACACTTTTATTGAAATAGTTTAAGATTTCATGTAATTGATATTGTATCTTAAACATATATTATTACCTCATTATAATACCATGTGAAGTTTGGTGAAGGAAAGGCACATCCTGTGCGGCAGCTAAAGAGCACTGAATTCTGAACAAGGTCTTGGTTCTGGCTTGGTTGATTATCATACTGGAGTGATGGTGTGATAGCTGGAATGGAATGGACAATAAAGACTTAAGAACACACATATAGTAAATTCAACGTCATAGGTAAACCTGCTAGCCCGACCCGGATAACATTGAAGACTTTGACATTGGTACCAGCAAAATATATGCCCTGTCCTAGGAGGGTCAGTTGGTAAAAACCACGCCAATTCTTTTTCAATTCAATATGAGTTAAGCTGTATCCCAGGATACCGTTGATGCAAAATTAAAACCATTGCATTGAACAACTGGACAAAATCTGATGCCCCTGCGCTTTTTCTAGTAGAAACTGGGAAACTAAAATAACTCAATTAAAATAACAATTCTAATAATCATTTTCCTATTTCATACATTCATTTCTAAAATATTAATTGCTGTAAAATACATTTAAGATATTTTCTAGTTATATGATAAAAATGCACGTTTCTAAGAAAATATTACATATTTGTAACAAGAGCACAACAAAGGCGGGGCAATACACGACCAAATAAAATTTGTGTCGAAGAATTATACAAAAAAAATCCTCTCAGAAACTTGACCGAGAAATGTTTTCGGTTTCAAGGTGCAGACATTTTAATCCTATTTTCCGAACACTTTGGTAGTGTGCAAAATGCCAGCTTTACAAGATCTTTACCTTTGGGTAGAAGCTTGGTTGTTGCGCACGTTACATTGTCTTATAATTGTGATAATTTCTGTGATTTTTATCCAAAAAAAGTTAAAAAGAATAAGTTTAAAAGAATCAAATGACTTTTGGGATTGGGCAAGTTTTGATCTGCGTTCTGCATATATCATCTCATTTGTAAGTTACGTTTCTGTCAAATACATGTAGTATTATTTTCCTTCTCTCGGTTAGACATTTTGAAAATTAATACATGACTTCGTGTGGCCTTGACCTGAAAAAGGTCGAATATGCGTTCTGCATATCATCTCATTATTATTAACAATTCTGAATTGGAGGACTAATTCTAATTAGTAAAATACCTAGTCTACATACTGTATACAATAAGCTGCGTGTATTTTCTTCCTTGGTTGTTGATAGCACATGTCCAATATTTCTGGTCTTCTGATCTATTTAGATTGGTGACTGTTATAGTGATACCACTGCTACTAGGATTAAATGTATGTCTTGGTGTAGTTCCTAAACACACAGATGGAATACATTGTGTTACTACTGAAGCAGTTGTAATATCTTGAGGCAAGGTATCTGTCTTATAGACCCTAACAACATCGTTGGTAAACTGCGACACCTCACAAACAATCTGTATATCGCCCCCTTTTACAGGTATCTTGTTGTCTTTGATATAAATTCGCTGCACAGTATCTAATACATGTATAAGAAAAATGTATCTTATAATGATAATAATAATGATGATGATGATGATAAGAAGAATAATAATAAGAATAACATAATAATTATAATGTATATCACATCCTTTAACACGTATCTTGTCTTTGATATAAATTTGCTGAACAATATCTACATACAATATAATAATAATAATGATGATAATGGTGATTATGCTGATGATATGATATCCCAGGTAAATACACGTTGGATTCTTCAGTTGTATAATCCTTTTTTCGATATTACCACAAGCTAATCAAATAGATGTTCGTCTGTATTATAGTAATACGTACACTATCTTCCATGACATTATCTTGGCATAAATTATCTTGGCAAAAGTCAAATAAATATTTGGTAAAATTCAAATTAAAGTATTAAAGAAGTTCAGTTATGAGGAAAATAAAATCTTACCCGAATTGACAATTGTTATTAGTCCAAATAATAAAATAGCAGTAAAATTCAACATATCCGTATCAGTAAAATAATTTTTATTAAAATTGTTTACATTTGCTTGTTTATTTATGAACTTTACAAAATCAAACAGGAAGTTTATAGATTAACGTAAATAAACGGTTGACCTACTTCAATAATATACCTAAAAAAGTTAAACATGTAATAAAATGTAATGTTTATAATAAAGTTTGATAAACTGACTTATTTGATCACGGATTTATAGACACGCATTTATATGTAATATAAATCCGTGAGTTGACTTCCCATAAAGGGCTGGAAAATGTTTTCAATTAAACAAATTTTTATTTCAGTGTTCAAGAGAATAATTTGTTTCAGTTCTATTTTAATTTTAAAATGCCTCAAAAAAGATCAAGATGATGTTATAACTTTAAACGAATTTATTTTAAAGTTGCAAGTTTTATCTTGTTTTACGTAAAAAATACTTTACTATTTTATTTTATTATCGATTTTGACAAGATTAACTTTCGTACTATTTATTTAAAGCAATGAATATATTAAATTGATGTCAAAATGTTTTAAAACGCTTTCATCGTTTAAATGTGAAATGAAAATCGGTATTATAAATAGCAAACTGTCTGAGGGATTTGGACCGGTAGATAACATGCTTGTAAACGTGAAACAAACCATTTCTTGGTTATTATCATGTCATATATTCAACCTGTTTTATTTAAATACGTGCACGCAGTTCAAACCCATAATTCAAGCCAACAAAAATACTGAATTAAGATAAACACATAAAATGGCAAGGACATTATTCTTCAAATCACAGTGGCCATGCAAACAGGTATCCGCGTGTTTTTCCTCTTTCCAAAGGAAATCATTTCAAAGAAAAACCATCATATTTCTGTACAGAGTTGTTCAATTTAAGCAGTTCAGATAAACTCATTTTAATTACGTTCTTATTATTATAACGTTCTTTTAACCTGTTTCCTTTTGAAAAAAGTATAGCTGACTATATCGTCAGGGCTTTACTTCTGAAGCCATCAATGTTCTCAAAATAGCCATACCTTTCTGTCTGGCGGTTTTGAACATACTAAGATTCGCATGTAATTCCTAAAAAAGTTTGCTTACTATCGCATGCATCTATCATGTCATTCAAAGTTAGACACGAATAATGTTTACAATAACAAGAAATGTATGTATATTTTACAAAGCTGTGTGAGTGATAAAGACATATAAATGTATATTTGCAGCGACAGTTGCTGTGATGAAATAATTGCACATTGTAAATCAAGGTAAATATCTTTTGTCATGAATTCTTATTTTTCTCGACAATTCGAAGAATAGGGAGAGCAATAATTGAACTTAACCCCGTGTAAGATTTTGCATTGCCGCCGTCGCAAAACTATATATGGTTGAGCTTTTGTGTGTTGATATCTCCAAAACTACGGGAATTTTTTCACACACTTTTCTGCGATTATGTAATACCATGGGCACACAAGTCCCATATCCCTGAGGCACCTTTCCTCTAATCGTACCCTCGAGCGTCGAGAACGGCCGAGCGCGCTCTCATACGGGCAGCTCTTTGTTTTCTTTTAAAGACAATTTTATCTTTTCATATTTTGTACTTTTTGTTTTTTTAAATAGACTGCCATTAGATTTATATCTAACATGTATAAGGTATCTATAAATGTTGTAAAATTCAACGATAACATGTTCATTTATTTCCCGGAAATAAATAAAAAAAATACAAAAGATGGTGTACCGTTAGAAGTGTGTTTCTGTGTCATCGCTATTGTATTTTCCGAATTTGGAATCAAACGTTTGGTAAATAAGTAAAAATTACTATTCTTTAGGTGCATAAATATAATGATTAATAGCACTTGTACTTAAACGATTATTATATCGCCATGAATGAAATTAAATGTGAGCCAAGTTGCGGAAAAATGTTCGACTTTGTTGCCATAGAGTACATGTACGATGTGCCAGGACATTTCTGTTAATAAATAAGTCATAAACTCTCACTTTTCTACCACCCTAGTTTTGTTTACATGCTTCTGTCAAGAAAATGCTATCCTAAGAATAGCATTTCTGAAATTTGAATTCGTCCTATCAAAAACGTATTTAAAACATAAGTGTCACACCTTATTCTTTTAACTACGAAAAATAAATATCTTTAAAACACAGGACTTTGATATTCTGTCAATAAATAAATATGTATCAAGCTCCTGTGGTTAGCATAGCAGTAGATACGATTGAGTCATACTCCAGGTAATCAGTTACAATAATCAGAAAACAGGGCAACAAGTTAGCATGTCAATTCCACAATTTACACCACTGTTGTAATCAGAGATGACCCTTTGGTAGATTTCCCAGCGTTACTGGTTTAGGAAAAGCGCAGGCGCCTCTCCGTGGATTATTATAGACATGAACAGGGCCCTGAGCAGAACTACCGATGTTCCGTAAACTAGCTGGATTTCTTTCTTATATGAAAGAATCGGATCATAGCGGTGAGGTGCAAGTGGTTTGATTTCAACATTATTAACCACTCAGCAAAAAACAGTGAAAATAATATCTTTTTTATTATGTTGTTACTTTATCAAACTCTACACAAAAAGATTGCTCAATGGTTTCTAAGAATTTATGTGGTTTATATACACATAACATTGCATTGGAAATAGATTGCACGACAATTGTTAAATCTGTAATCGTTTAGTTGTCTCATTCTATAGAAAATTGACTTTCAATTTACTATTTTCTGAAGTCGATGTGTACACCTTTATTTAAAATTGAATTTTAGGTTTTTCTTGGAATGTATGTTAGCCGAAATCATGATTTTATTTTTTCTTTAATTTTTCTCTCATTTAATTGCTACACTTTCAATTGGTCATATGTTTGTCTATCGTCTTTTAGTTCGGTCTTCAGTGACGTATATTGAGACTCTCCGGATTCATCTGGATCTGTTCCCTGTTGTGTGCCCTCACCATCATTTGTTGAGAACACCATATTTGTATATAAAGGCACAGCGAGTCTGTAGTACAGATACAACCATACATCAATTTATTTATATTTGCATACTCGTTTATGCTATATATCAAATCAAATTTTCATCCTTATACAAGTATAAATATTAGTTATAATAGTTCAATGTTGTTTTATGGTTGATTTCTTTAAATCACATTTTGCATTGCTGTATTTTTATCTGATCAATGTATATAAGCTACTCTTAATTATGTTAAACATTTATATCATAAACTTTTGGAAACAATATGATTAAAATGAAAACCAAAAACGACGTTATAACGCATAGGAAATTGCGATTTCTATTACTCCAAATAGCACCAATCTAACTGACATTCATTGTTTAATATATATATATATATATATAGAACTTTAAAGAAACATGATAACTTACTTAGCCGGCTGGACAAATGTATTTTCTGCTAAAAATCAAAATGATAAGAATTAGTTAAAACAGAAAATCCATCTATGTTTGACAATGAAAAAACAAACAAACGTAGAACATAATTATTTCTTCTTTCTAAAGAGAAAACTGTACAATAGTTTAGTTTAGAAAAACAACTAAACTTTTAAAAACAAATGAAATATTCATCAAAAAATGTTTTTCATTGTAAATTAAGAACAAAAGAACCCCACCTGTGTTTCCATTTTTTCGTTTCAGTAATATTGTAACATAACCAGCATATGCCACGACTACCACGTTGATTATTCCAAGTACTATTCCTACAATCACTGCCTGAATATTACTACATGAACATGTATTAGGACAGTTGTTACAAGTATATCCCGTTGCCTTACCTATAAATTTAAGAAATGCAATTAAGAATATTCATTTCGGCATCAGCAATTTTAATTCTTTTATGATTAGTTATCAACGTATTGGAAATGTTAGAACGATTCGGTGCAGGAAAAGTTAATTTTATTCATCTTCAAAACGGCAATATATGGTCGACGAACATTTTTGTAGGTCCAAATCTTTTTGTTTACACTTGCAAACTGGTTTCCTTTTAATAATATATCCATCGAAACAAAACAGATGCATAACATTCTTCATTGTTGCCATAAATACTACAAATGACATTTACAGAAAAAAAAGTAAATATACTTTATTGCATTACTTATTGACCCACCCTCGTATTTTGAAAAGAAAATATCGTTTTGTGGAAAATAAATCAAGAAGTAGAATACCTAAAATACCTAAAATACTGACTATGAGTGGTTACTGTATTTTAGAGACTTGTAAAGAAGAACAGGAGAAACACAATTTGTGAAATACCATGTACAAGTATATTTAATGAAAATGCTGAGCCATCTGTTTTTATTTTAGATATTTTTCATATCATATCCTAAACATAAGTATCAGTTATTTGTCAATCACCATTAAAAAAGTCAATTTTTTAAATACATTTCTGATTCAACTTAACTGGGCAACGAAAGAGTGAGCATAATGTAACAGGAAAACAATGTTAAGCTGTCAATGAGCTTCATCAGTTTATTAAACACTAAAGTAATTAAGTTTGCAAAAGGTGAATACAGGTCTATTTAATTGACAAAACTTTTGACTTAGCTCTTTTTCTGCTAAATTTATTTATTTAGAGTAATGGATTTGACCAGCTTTCAATTTGAAACAATCCATTTAAAGTTTAAGAGATTTTGATATCAAAAACAGGAATTAAGCTTTTAAAGGTATAGAGACTTGTCAAAGTGCAAAGTCATACTGGCTGGTATAATATGATACTGGTGGAAAAATTGACCACCTACGGATTTAGAAATTAAAGGGTTAAATAAAATTTATTTTGCATTGTAGCTTTTATTCTATTTGCAAGGTGTAACACTTTATATCAATAACAATACCCGAAACAAATAATGAATAGTCATCTTTAGTATATTTATAGCAACTTACAGTTAACAACGACAGCCAATGTTTCTTCTGTACCAAAATTATGACTGGGATAATGAGTTGATGTTGCTGTAGCCCTACATGTGTAGTTACCATGGTCTGTTCTATCTATATCATCAAATGACAAAGTAGTGCCACTAGACTGTTGTCCCATCCAACTTACTGCTGGTGTTGGATTTCCGGTGGCATTACATGTAACAGACAGCGTTTCACCTTCATTTGTCGTTATGGTAGTTACTTGTTTCCCATTTGCCATAATTTGTACGTTTGGAGAATCTGTAAAATTTGTGTAAATATATTCATACCTGAGGACATTGTTTTATTTCATCCGGCAATAGCTTAGTTTCTTTTCTATTTATTTCAGTTCTTCTTTAAACAACCTGGATCTAAATACATGGGTTTTAAAGCATCGTAAAAGACAATGACTTCAACGCGTCTTTGCTAACAAGGAGAGTCTGCGTAAGGATCAAGCTTTAAGTCAATTGCAGGATTGACATTGAAACATTCTGAATTCGTGTTTAAGTATATTAGAGTGATCGTTTCCGTGCTTTTAATGCCAAATATATTCATTTTTCTTACATTCAACTTGTAAAAGCACTTGTTTGGACTTGATCTGAAGACCTTTCTTCTGCGTAAATGAATTCTTCAACTGACATTTTACTGGACTTCTATCAACTTGAAACGTTAGTTAAGGTAACTTTAGTTTTCTTGTATCAGCACTATCAGGTGTTCCATATTGTGTGGCCCACGTTGCTGTAGCTGTAGGATTACCATAACCAGATGAGAAACAATAAATACTCTTTCCTGTATGACCTTCTAGAAATGGAAAACTGCTTGTTGATATAACAGGTGACGATGGTGGCCCTATGAATAAAACAATAATAATTAATAATAAAATATGATAATTTTCATAAGATGAAAATAAATCTTGTATTTATAGAAAAAAACTTGAATTTTCGGTTTATTATATACTTTTTTCCTTTTTAACCTTATCAATAAGGAATAATTCCCTTTTAAATTTTGTTTATTAGCTGAATATAGAAGAAAGTAGTCCGGCAAGACACCAGATACCAAAAATATCAGTGAAAAATAAATTTTTACAGTGAAAATACGGAAAATAAAAATACGCATTTTATTTCATCAATATTTCTCAAGATATCATTTATAAGTATATAATAAAATGGTTTATTAGTTTTTCCATATCAACTCCAAATTATGTCGTAAACACTCGACATGTCCCTTATCCGTCATTAATTGTGTTTCCGCTGCAGTATTTAAAACCGAAGCATTCATGGAAAAGATATCTATTTAAATCTAAAATAAAATAGTATCCACAAAATCACAAGTATATCGTCTAAAAATTCTTAATATCTTTAGACCACAAAAGCAGTATCTTAAAAGACAATTTCTTTTTGTATTATTTTCTACAACAGCAAAAATGTTATCATTTCAATGAATGATGATTTTGTATATATATATATATTATTTTCAAATAATAACTTAACCAGACATATCATTTTTTTATTTTACGCAAACCAAAAGTAAAACTGATATATTTATTTTCTTTCATTCTACTTACAATACACCGTTATCTTTTCTTGAGCCTTCACTAAATTAATTTGACCAGGTATTGTAGTTTCACAGTAAACTGTTTTGTTGTTATCAGTTCTGTTTGCTGTAAATGTTACAATACTTGTAACAGATTTAAAATCATTCTCATGACTATTTGTTGTATTCTTTACATCAGTCAGTGTTTGAATACCCAGCTTCCATGTTACTATAGCAACAGGTCGTGTTTGAGAGGAAGTACACTGATATTTTATTTGATCTCCTTCTAACTTTTCTGTTGTTAGATCTGTGATTGTAGGAGTGGTAGATAATACTGGAAAATTAACAATTATACTGTCTGTAAAAAAGAGTAAAAACTTGTATGTCCCATCCAGTTAACCTACTAGAAATTCTTTTCTATACTTTTAAAGGTAAAATATATAATTGTGGAGCGTTATAATATCTTTTGTTCCATTAGCTTTCATCGCTATTTATTTTTCTATTGTTTTTTTCTCTGCCAATTTTAACACAATTGTCTTGTCATATCATGGCGGTTGATTGACTCTAGTGGGCTTTCCTGAGTAGCTAACATTAATTATCAATTTCTCCTGCAAGTCGCCACTTACTATTTCTATATCAGCGGTGTTAGACTTATGACCATTAGGAGCAATAATAATATGTTATAAAAGATATAAATATACATATACAAACATTATTATTTTGAAGTTCATGCACATTTTTTATTATTGTTGATAATAGGCAATATTTGGCTGCGATATGAAGAGAGCATTATTTTAGTAAAATCCTTGATATGTAAAAACAAACATTGTTCGCAGAAAAAGAATTTATAAAGCATTTCTTAAAGTTTGAAACTTAAATTGAGACACATCAGCAATACAAGTAAGTAAAGAAAATTATAACCTTTTACAGAAAGAGTGATTCTGTTTGAAAACACATCTTGATTTCCTGACTGTGAAGTTTTACAATAAACTTGTTTTTTATGGTCGGAGATAACTGGGGTAAACGTTAATGTAGACAGTGTAACATTCTCTCTTTTCTTTTCATCGTCTCCTATATACCAGATTATAGTGGCTGTAGGTCTGCTTTCACTTGCTGTACATGTCAATGTTTTAGATACTCCATTTGTTACTTCTTGCGTTCCTGATGATATTGTGTTGCCATCCTTAAGTGTTACATTAGCTACCTTTACTGAAATGTGTAAAATATTTCATTATAGTTAGGTCCAACAAGATTATTTTTCTATTTAAACAGTATTATCAAGGTGAGTGTAATCAAAACACATATAAATTCTTTCTCGTTCTGTGTAATGCAATTTTTGTCGAAAAAAGGAGTATTACAAAAAATATCAGTATCTATGCAATTACAACTAAAAATTATTTTTATTTAAAACATAAGTTAGTATAATTTACCCAAGTAAACTTATTCATGTACAAATGATGAAGAATTTGAGTCAGGGGTTCGTTATTCCATATCTTCCTATAGTACAGTCACCTTTTCTTCTCCTTCAAAAAGTTCAGGAAGTCTCTAGTACTTTTTAATAAATATCAAGGCACGACCACATAGATTTTTATTGTTCTGCATGAAACTTAAATTTGTTCTACAGTAAGAAGCCAGAACTTTTAAAAAAAATTACAAGTTATCATGGAGATTACAGATATACTGGCATGCGAGCAGTTCCCGTACAGAAGCAGTACCCGTATTTTTCATTTAAACTCTTGATTTTTACTTGCCTTCTTCAAAAATTCATTTCAAATCAAGCAGATACATAAACGAGACAAAATCTAATTGTCAGTTCGGCAGTACGTATATAAAGTCTCATTTTAACTCACTTTCACCTGTGCGTTGTCAAAACGTGACCTTGTTTTCTCTGGGGGATTCCGTCCTTGCGCGCATGCGCAAAAATACTTACACGTGAGGCTTGTTAAAGGGTTTTCCACTAATACCACCTGTTTACAAATAAGTAGGCAATGAGATGAAAAATTGTTTAATTATCAGAATGTTGACCAATATTACTATAAATAATAATTTTATGGCTTTGATGCGTAAAATATCATGCATACAAGCATGTTACTGCATATGAATGCGTTGGGGTAACGGTACCGGGTAATAGATACCCGCGTTTAGTCTACGCTCTATTTCCTGAATTACATCTATTTATCTCTTAGATAATGGTCTGTTCAACAATTGTAAATGAAAAATAGGTCCGATATAATAAAATTGTATAATTATAATGGGTTAGATTTTATGTACGGGAACTACTTCTCTTCATACAAAATAATGGATAATTTCGGTACCCCATATGAGGCCTCATAAGTAAGGGTTATTCTATGTTTAGAACATGATGGAATTTCCATGATTTGTGTGACGAGCCGAATATTGATGTGTAACATTCAAATATTGGTGAGTGAGCGTAATAAAAAATAATGATTAAGTAACTGTGATTTTTGTACGGGAACTGCTCGCATGCCAGTATAGGTGTTTTTCCTGTCAGCACTTTACTGATTTGCCATTTGGTAATTCAATTGAGTAGCGCAAATATAAATATTTTGTTTAAGCTCAGCTATACAAAAACAGTTTGATTTTCATAGTGTACATTGCAAACCTTACAACAAATTTGTTTCTAAAGTATAATGAACTTTACGCAAAAATAAAAATAAAAAAGTGTTGATAGTTACTCATTGTTTAGTGTATATTTATCATTCTTTTAAATTGGGATGAAAAGAAATTTTTAGTATTAGAAATACCTTTCACATAAAGTGACACTATGTTTGAAGACACAGCTTGGCTTTCAGATTGTATGTTGAATGCTTTACAGTAAACTTGATTCTGATTATCCGTATATTCTGGCGTGAATGTAAAGCTAGAAGTATTGGTTGTTTCTCTTTTCTGTTCCTGACCTCCAAAATACCAGATGATAGTTGCCGTTGGTCTGCTGACACTTGATGTACATGTCAATGTATGAGGTTCCCCATTGGTAACTTCTAATGAATTTGATGGAACTGAATTTCCATCTTTTAATGTCACTGTTAAAACTCGTACTGAAGCAAAACGTAACATATTTATAATCACTTCGTATTTCATCTATGTGTATGCTTTGTAGAATAAAAGTAAAATTAGAATTTTACAGAGTTAGTGTATAAATGTAATAAGGTTATGTTATCAATAAAATGAAATAGTAATGAAATTGAGTTAAACATCGAAAAACGTTTTCACTCCATCTGAATCAAGTTTAGCTGCGATAAGACATTATGTGTGGATGTTGTTTAGAGTGACATGTCTGCCAGTTAATAAATGAAAAATGTATTTAACGTTGTGAGCAAATCGATAACAAACAGGATTGTCTCTTTATCCAAAAGGACAACAACAACACTTAATACAAATTTGACATAGACAATGGATTTGGCTAAATAAAAATGAAAGCATCTTGTTCAACATACATATATTACTTTGCATTTTCATAACTTTTATGAGACATTCAAAACCTATGTAATCGGTTCAGATTTGGCCATATTATCCCAAAAGAGAAAACAATTTAAACATTTGTGGTTATGCTTTGGTTAGGTTTATTTTTCTTTTTTGACAAATTAGAAGAAAAGACAACAATCTGAGTTTAATATTTTTCCCAACGAAACATTCTTCGTTTGCAAAATCATCTTCGTTTGAGAACGAACTAAAAGGTAAGTATGAATTATTGAATCTAAGATTTTTTTTGCAACACAAACGATGCAACGTTTTTCTTTCAAGCTTTCAGAAAATTAATTCGAACATTATAGCGAAAATCACAGGAAACATACTAAATGATACACTACAGCGAAATATATCAAATGAAAAATTAGAAGAATTATGTGGAGTAAATATGTATTTTTTATTTGTACCATCATAAACCTATAAGGAACAATGGTCCCAAAAACGTTGATACAAATTACTCAAAAGACAGACACGTTTAAATTTATATACAATACATTCTTTTAATTTAAAATTTGTATTTCTTCGTTATAAAAACCGCCATCTGACCATTAAGTGTTGTTCATGTAAAAAGGCAATTTTACTGAATGTTACAAATTAATTCATTCAATTGTTAGCAAAAGAGTGTCAGAAAAGTACCTGCAAATCTAACATTAACAGACGCAGGTGTAAAAAAATGATCTTCTCTCCCAGTAACTGATATGGCACCACACTGGAACTTCACAGTGGTATCTGTATTATCAGTAAACGCTGTGAATCTTGACAGAGTTAATGTAGATGTATATATTTTCTCAGAATCAGTACAATCTCCATTTTTCCCTGTTACAAATGCTGTTGTGGGCCATATTTGACGTGATTCACCTGTCTGTAAATACAATATCACTCACTGAAAGTATACTTCTATCTCACTGTTTTGTGTTACTGGACACTTATTTGTACATAAATGCCACAAACTGAAAGGGAGTACAATAATTTTCTCCTTTGAACCAAGTAAAGACATCACTTTGATTGGAATAGTTTAGGAAGCCATGTAATTTATATTGTATCTAAACATTATATATTACCTTACTATAATACCATGTGAAGTTGGGTGAAGGATAGGCGTATCCTGTGTTACATTTAAATGTCACTGAATTTTGAACGAGGTCTTGGTCCTGGCTAGGTGGATCATCATACCAGATTGATGGTGTGATAGCTGGAATGTAATGAGTAAATAATAGTTAAGAATATCATATAGTAAGTTTTGCTTGGTCTCATATTGCATGATATTATACAGTAAATTATGCCTCGTCTTATGTTAACCTGCTACCCCCTCCCCCGTGAAATATTGGAGACAATTGTACAATCCAAATAACTGTCCTACGTTTGAAGAGTAAAATGATGAAAGCCATGTTAATCCTTCTCCCGTTATGCTGCATTCTTGGCTATAGTTGGTGTAAACCATTGCAGTAAACAACTGGACAACGACTTATGTCCTTGCATCCCTTCTAGTGGGAACCGGGAAATTCAAATAACTCAACAAACTGAATATCAATTCAATCAATCACTATCATTTTTCATGCACGCATTACTACAATATTTAATGGATGCAAACAGTATTTAAGATTTTTCGTGATTATATAATAATCATACCTACACATTTCGAAATACATTTAGCATAATTATATGTAAAAAAAATCTGCAAACAAAGTGATCCCTCGGAAGCATTAATCACAACAAAATTACAAGAAAATTACAGACTCGGTTTGATTGAGTCTGTACATGAGGGATAATGAATACGTGCAACATCCGTCACGCGCCCAAGCACCGGCTTGAGCGGTACTCAATTCTCAACACTTAATAGTGCGGGCATCAATGACAAGTCAATTAAGAATATGTTATTAACTTATTTATCATGTTCTTCTAATCAATGAATGAACAAATGTTTCTTTTCATCATCTGTAAATAAGCATAGAAACCTATTTGAAATAGAAGTACCTTTTACAAAATTCTAATCACGTATTTTCCTTAATAGATGTATATATATTACATACTGTATACAGTAAGATGCATGTATTTCCTCTGGTTATAAAAGGCGCATGTCCAATATTTCTGGTCTTCCGATCTATTGAGATTGGTGACTGTAATAGTGACACCACTGCTACTAGTTCTGAATGTATGTCTTGGTATACTTCCATAACACTTTGATGAATGACAAGTTGTTATAAATGAAGAAGTAATACGGTCTGAAGGAGGTGTGGAATCTGTCTTATAGACCCTAACAATGTCGTTAAACTGCGACACCTCACATACTATCTGTATATCTCCTCCTTTTACGGGTATCTTGTTGTCTTTGATATCAATTTGCTGCACAGTACCTTCGTATAGATAAAGATATTATAACATGTTTTATTGAAAGGGATTGTTTGCAAATCTCAAATCATACGAGTATACTTGTGTATTTGTTTGTTTTAACAACTTATATTCTGTATGATAATCAAATGAAAGACGACAACAAAGATAAATTTCAGCCATACGATAGGTTCTTACTAGTTTAACAAATCCCTGAAGACACTAATGTTGTTCGTTATCACAAAGTTTGTCAGTTCTTTAGTCCCAGAAAAGCATGTAGTTGTATTTAATAAAAATGAAAACATAATATTTACCTACATAATCATCATTAATAAATAAACAACAAGTAATACATATAAAATAATATAAATTCATTTTAAAATGAATAAATAAATTTTACAACAAGATTTTGTGTTGCTAGTTAGGTTACAATATATAAAATTGTAGTTACAGATATACTATTTTAGTTATATAATTTGAATGTGTAACACATCATTGCCACTATGAGAAATAAAGTCAAATTAAAGTTGGTTCCATTATGATTTTTAAACATCTGTTATTATGTATTCCAAACATTTAGCGGTCTTACGCCAAAATGAATGTGATTTCAATACTGGGACATTTGCATTTATTAAATCTATTTGCATTATTGTAATAAAGTTCATTATCTGCACGAGTAGATTAGAGATTATTTCTGTTCAATGAAAGACCGAATGAAATATTCAATTTTAGTTGTAAGAAAGTATTCATTACTAAATAGAGAAGTCAAATTATGAGGAAAATAAGTCTTACTAGAGAAAACTATTGTTATCGGTCCAAATAGCAGAATAGCCTTGAATGTAAGTTTAAATATATCCATATCCATATTTATTCTTTTTTACTTAACTCCTTTGAACACCTTCTTCTTTATTTAATACTTTATTTATTTGTAACTATCAAGGAAGATAAAAGATGAATGCAAATAGACGTTTCCTCTACTTATACTTTATAATGCAACAGCGGATAAGTAGATAAAAATGAAATTAAAAGTGGTTTAACCGACTCTTAATAAAAAGTTACAAATCTATTTTTAAAAAAATCTTTATCAATATTATATCAAAACTTAAAACGAAACAGATATTTAAGGTTTATAGAAAGAACCGTTCCATGTTTAGGATCTCTTCCACTTTTGAAAATTTGAGCCGTGTCACGACAAAACCAACATGGTGCGTTTGCGACCAGCATGGATCCAGACCAGCCTGCGCATCCGCGCAGTCTGATCAGGATCCATGCTGTTCGCTTTCGGTTTCTCTTCTTGTTATATAGTTGGTAAGCGAACAGCATGGATTCTGAATCAGACTGCGCGGATGCGCAAGCTTGTCTGGATCCATGCTGGTCGCAAACCCATTATGTTGGTTTTGTCGTGACTCGGCTCATTTGTCTTTTATTGTCAATACTATACTAACTGTATTACTTATTCGATTATGATAATACAACCGTTTGTTCTGTTTATAATAACTTTTACATTTAAAATGTATAATTTTATATTGTAACATTATAAATTTCTATCACAAATGTTTCTAAATCAATTGCAAATCATACCATTTATCGTTTACGTGTGGAATATATACAGGTTTAGGATATAGAATGAGTGTCGTTATTAAATTTATTCAACCAGTTGAATAAGATTATATAATACGAGCCTCCGGTGAGCATATTATTATTTTAGTCAACGATTAGTAGAACAACACAAAAGTGCTTAGAAAGTTCTATATTCAATTTTATTTCATTTTTTTGCCAGTTTTACAAATACGTGTATCTTCAAAACAAGTAAACTTTGTTGCATGGAAGATGTACATAAGCATTGATGACCAACATAAAAAGTTGCGTTTGACGAAATGTCCAAATATTGCTGTATCTGCTTTATGACAGTGCTCCATGTCATAAGCGCCAGTTTTAGATGTTAAAGTGACTCTCCTGCAGTTGTTATTTTTCACTTGACACAGATATAAACACCCACCCTTATTAGGTACAGTAGGACAGCTTGTAGAGGTATAACTTACTATATAAATTTCACTTTTAAACTGGATAACCAAGATATGTTCTTCATTTTTGTTTCTTTTCATAGACATAATTTTATATATATTTATAACTGCAAATACTTTACTAAGATGTTTTATGCGTCGAACAAGAAATGTACTAATCATCTAATTCCATATAAATTTGCGAGTATTTGGTAAAATTTAATTTTGATGACATTTTATTTTTAAAAAAAAAACTACAATGTGTGGGATAGTAGCTTTAATGGGCAAAAAATAATGTCTTGAGTCATCCTACTTATTTTCCTGATTAAACTCCATCTTTAAAAACAGAAATTAACTCTTAAGTGCCGTGTATAAGTGTCTAAACTTGTATCAAGGGCAGACAACAATGGCGCTTTTAAGCAATATATTTAGAAATGCAGTTAAGTGGTGAGAAAATTTTGAGAGGTTGAAATGAATTAATTTGAAGATTTGTTTGCTGTATTCAATTGATTAATCAAAAACAACAAGTTAAATGTTGATGCGGCACATCAAAGACGCCCCCAAATGGTGTGAACAGTCAATCAGCATTGAAAATCATTCTCTATTGCAGTTGAATATCCAAAGCACAAATCAATTTTAAAAAAAGTAGACAAAGTAGAACCTAATGCAGAAATTCACAAAATAATGCCAGGTTTGAAATGCTTAAATGTTTGTCTGTTGCGACAAAGACTGAAACGCCTGGTCGAATCAAAATAAATTGGATAACAAATAAAATTGAAATGATTGGTATACTTAAAATAAATTCAAAACAATATGTGCCGAGAATATACCCATTTGAATATTGGTACGAATTTCATAATGTTCAAATATTTTAAGGACAAACTGTTCTGCAGTGATCTCCCCTTACAGGCCGTAGCACTACCGGTTTGTTGTACTTTCTTAACGGTTGCGTGAGAACCGCCTCTCTAATAGTGGGCTTGGTTTAGGCTTTGTAACTTGTAATTTAATGATTCGACAAGTGATTTTGATCAAAGTTGTCCTGATTCCCTTCTGCTCCGTCAACGAAGACTAAATGCTAGCATATGGAGTATAATATCAAATTTATTATGACAATTTAAGGCGTAGCCGAACTTCAACAGAGGCGAAACAAATGAAGTAAGTGACACTGCCTCAGTTGTCACCTATATCTCAACGGTAAAGTTTTAGAACGATCGACTATAGACTGGCTCATTTGCACGTTATTTATTATGTAAATAAAATTAGATAATGATAAAAAGAATATGATATTCAAACATGGCACTATCACTTCAATTAAACGTTTATTCTGATCCCTTAAAGCTCTGTGACATGTTGTACATCAGAAAAACTATTTTATTAGAAAATTTAAAAACAGTGTTATTTTGATAAAACAAAAAAAAATACACAAAAATCAAGTCTAGAATTTTCCCCATTGCTGAATGTACAAATGCATATCTACTAGACGCCGCTTGCAAGCGGCGTCTAATAAGCCTTTTGAAACACCCTTGTGAAAAGAGCTATTCAATCCTTATTCCAGTTTGATGGAAAGCATTCAGTTTTGCAGAATTGTGTATAGTCATCACATGAAACTTATACGTGCTACTCCAGAAGACTGTTGACATATTGTTTTTGGAGTTGAGAAGAGGGGAAAATAAGCTCACAATCTCTAAATTTGTATTAAACGTCACCACGAGACCACTGCGCCTGCTATGTGATGTTATTTATACATGTAATCTATATTTGATATAATATTGTCCCAGAAAAAAACGCTCCTATACAAGTGATGTCTGTATTTTCCCGCCCTTTAAAAGCATACATACATAAATGTCAATGCATATGTACCACTTAAATAAAACAATGATATATCAAGTCAAACTAAAATAAATAATTACATATTTACTATATTAAAATTCAGAAATTGAAAAAAAACTTGATTGGTAAATGATATTAAAACAACAAACCTAAATATTGCAGTCATAAGTTTGGCTTATTTAAAAGGGAACAGAGGAAAACGTACATTACACAGTGGTCAAACGAGTTTGCGTTGTTTTAAAAAAAACTTTTTTTTTGGAACACTGAAAATCTCAATATCCAATATTCCATTCTTACAGATAAGGTGTGTTGTCGATCATGGTCATGATGGTTACAAACTTCAAAAATGATATTAATGATATTTTTATCCAAGAAAAATAATGTTTTTCTAGACAGAACAAAATTGAAGCCTCTTATGTAAATTTGATGTAACTGCTTTTGTCCAACAAGTCATATTATGGATATGATAAATGATAACGGGATAGTTAAAGACACTCTCTTGAGATATCTTGACATTGTAAAGTAGTTGTTTTTTTATAAAATATATTGCATTGCAATGTCCTCTATAGGTCTTGCAGACACTCTATATTTCGGCCGTTTATCTGTGACAATTTACAGAAATGTATATTTGACTCAAAACACAAACATTTATTACCCTTTGTGTTAACAGTTTATTTCATAAATCAATTACTTAACTTATCTTCTCCAGTACAATACCTTAAGGAAAACTCCAGGAACTTTGTAACTGTCACAAAAAAGACATGACATGTTTCCCGAAAAACATTTCCTTCCAAATCATTATCTGTTATGAATTATCTGTAAACTGTTGATCTTTCGCAAATGATTGCACATTTGTGGTTATAACTGTCACAAAAAAGTTGCAAAATATTTTCGATGATGTACATGGTTTATCAATGCATCAATTATGAATATATATTAAGATCAATGTTCATATTTAAACTTAAGAGCTAACATTTGCTCAAATTAAGATCGGTGCTGCTTTCGTTCTTCTTGTTCATTTTTTCTCAGTTTTGTTTTACGTTCACAAGTATTGAAAATTTTAAGTTAAATATCATAAGTAAAATGTCTTTCAGCTGAACGTCGTCTTCAATTATTTAATACTACACTCCTAATACGTCATATGTTTGTCTATCGTCTTTAAGTTCTGTCTTCAGTGACGTATATTGAGACTCTCCGGGTTCATCTGGGTCTGTTCCCTGTTGGTCGTCACCATCATTTGTTGAGAACACCATATTTGAAGATAAAGGCACATTGTTTCTGTAGTAAAAATACAATAATATATCAACTTATTTATATATGCATACATAACGTCTTCAAACTCAAGTTTGTTTCAAATGTCAAATACAGTTTTCATTCCTTTGTATGTAATTAGCAGAATATTTTGGTTGAATTTCAATGAAATTTAATTAAAAAATAAAACAATGTAATTTAAAACTATACTCTTACATTTGAGCTTGATATATGAACTATATTTTAAATACTCTTACTATTTCAAAACTATCAATTTAATCATAAAAAAGTTAACATATATCTGACAAAATAACTTGATTTTAAAAATAAAACTTTATCTTGTAAATTGTTATAACAGTAAAATGATGTAGTTTTGAAAGTCTTGTTTAAACACACGTGGGTATTGCATGTTAACTGGAAAAATATTACAGAACAAAATAATATACTCTTATGTTTATTATGGTTTAACCATTCAGCAATTATGTAGCGTTTGTGCCATTCACTTAGGAAATATACAAAACTTATTTCTTCAACAATTATAAAATGGTGATATGTAGTGGAAACACAAACAAAGAAACATAAATAATGAAATTGATGAAATAATGACTTACTTAGTCAGCTTAGTGGGGTGTCCAGAGTTATTTCCCGCTAAAACAAAAATGTTCAGAATGAAAATTATATTTAACATAAAATATACTACACATTTTCGACTAACTAAAAGGCAAAATGTACATTTTAATAAAACTACTTTTACCAAACATAGCTGAAAAGTAATCGTTAAAAAAAATAAGAAAAGAACTCACCTGTGTTTTCACCTTTTCGTTTCAGTAATATTGTAACATAACCAGCATATGCCACGACTACCACGATGATTATTCCAAGAACAATGCCTACAATCACTGCTTTTATGTCATTATTACAGGCGCCGTTGTTGCAATCTTGTATCTTTGCTTTTCCTAAGGTTAAGGAAAAGAAGTTAGAAAATCAAAGCGATTCATTTCAGCGTTCGTTTATATTTTCATTTTTAGTTTTAAGTTACAAACCCTTTGAAAGTTTTTTTATGTTTCTCGTGTAAGCTCTCTAGGTAATATACATAAACAATATCAATACATTATAAAATGAATTGCGTCTATGGGACACGGAGTCCTCGCATTCTACTGTATTGTCAATCTGCGGACGCACTGTGTGACAAAGGGACGGACGGACAAATGCAAGTCTTTTCCCCCATCCCAGTGAATGGGGGAATAAAAAGGAACAACAGATGGTCGGACAGATACATAATTACATTAAGACATGGCAAGAACAGAATTTTGTCTCTACTCGATAATACTACCTGACCTTTTGTTTTGGCAAGTATAATTTCAGATTCTTCCGAGTTTCCCAGCATATTAGAAGCATACAACACAATCTCGTAGTATGTCCCGCTTGATAATCCGGTAGCAATGTAGGTCATTTCATATTCCCCTGTATCAGATACTGACACATTATCCCATTCATCATCTGATACCTTTTTATACTTTAATGTAAAAGTCTGTTTGTGGCCATTGTCATTGCCAGGATTCCATGTCACGGTAAATGAACTTTCTGTACTCAATTGTTTTGCAAGAATAAAATTTCTAGGTACATCTGGTTTATCTGAAATCATATGATAAACATTAATTAATAGTGTAATATTCTAAAGAAAACAACACTTTAACACTTATGTTATAACATTTGTAAGACATATATGAAGTTATTAATTGACTTGGAGGAGAGTCATATTGATTTATAAAAATCTGGAAGAAGGGTGATCCCTCGGAAGCAATTACCACAACAAATTTACATGAAAATTGCAGACTCTGTTTGTTTGCCTCTAGCACCGGCTTGAGCGGTACCCAATTTTGAACACTTAAAAAAGTGTTGAAATCAATGATCCCGAAGGACCAGAAAAATATAAGAACGCTGGAGTTCGAGGCAACTTTTATGGCTGCCACACGGTATCTCATTTGTCATATAATTGTTCACCGTGCAGTTACGTTCTAATATATGTACAGATTAATAAAATTGAAGTTCAGATAAATTATTTATCTTATTCAAAAAACCTACATGTCTAATGTATGTAATAAATTACTTTTTTAGTCTATAAAGATAAAAAAAATAATCATGCCTTATCTTTAGCGACTAACATGCCAAATGAAAATATTCAATTTAGTTTGGACTATTATCATGAAACAGATTATTCAGCTGCATTTGTAAATGAAAATAAAAATACTGGTTTAACACAACATTAGCTTTTAACAAAAGAACAGCCCTGAACTGAAGCTGTTTAATGTAACGATCAATTTAAAGACTCTTTAAACTCGCACGATAATCAAATTTAGATATTCTTACTTTCATAGATGTGGTCAATCATCCATGATTTGTAAGATCCAATCCCGTTATCAATGACCAAGGTGTAGTTAACAAAATCCGATTCTTCGACATTTTTTATTTCAAGCTGAGCAAAATACCCATCTAGCTCAACTTCCTGTCCATAAAATATATCTTTTACATGTCCTTTCTGGAGCGTAACTGTATGTTTGCTAGAGTTTATTATAACAGATCCATTTTGAAAGAACCGTACAGTTTGAGGACGAGGATTACAGTAAAATGGAACTGTTATATTAGTTGATAGTCCAACCTGCCCGACAAATTTTCTCTCAGTTGTCTGTAGAAGTACTTTAGGTGATACTGTAATACATGTATGTCATTTATATGACTTGTTAGTAATATATTTTCTCGTATGGATGTATGTTTAATTATTATCTCTATCCACAGTATCAATATAAATACTTGTTTTTAGATTTTCTGTAATTTAAATCTTGATAAAAAAAATCAGAAAATATGTGTATTTTTATCAGAATACAATCGGTAATAACTATGTTACCAATAGAATAATATAAGTTTCCATTGAGATCTATTAATAACAAATTTATAATAAATATCAATTTAAATAAGTGGAGCAAATGATATGATAGACAATGACAACTAATCGATAATACTACTAAACAATGAAATAATCGATGTAACAAATGAAATTTATCAATAACAGAATCAGAAATTCAACATTATTTATAAAATTTGATACATTATATTGTTCTATGAATTATTCACAGTAATAATCTATCAGTTTTTATCTTTTTAAATGAGAAATAAGCGGGGAATCTATAATGAAATATGACAACTTACCCTTAATATCTACAGTATTGTTCCCACTTTGATCAAGCTGCTGGTTCCTATCTCGAATACCGTTGTTAGCTTTACATACATATGTACCACTGTCTTGAAGTTGTACATTTTCTATTTTTATAACATCACTGTTTGTTATATGTGTGTTAGGAATACGAACGGATCCCCATTTTTGTATAAACGAGGTAAAATGATATTCTGCAGGTCGCCCTTCGAGTTTACATTTAATTGTGAATGGGTGGTTTTCAGTAGGAGTTGAGCTACTGACAGTGACATCTGGTGCATCTGTAATAAAATATTGAAACCTATCATCGTACACAAAGACTGTCAAACCAACAGCATATTCTTAATTTATTGTTAGTCTTAATAATTTCACACGACAGAAGTTCCTTGATAATTCTTTTAAAGAAGTCATATGCAAAATTTGCCTCATACAAAAGTACTGAAAACCAGCAAAGCTTTAAAGTCACAATATCTACAATGAGTACTGAAGTTTGTCCTGACTTAAAAAATTGATTATGGCTTGCAACGTAACTATAAACTTTAAGATTGAAATTCAAATCTCATAAAGTAGATATTGCGCGTTGGTTCAGTGCTCTTCGATTAAAATTATGATTTTTACTTCTAAACATACGATTTTGTATCAAAGTAAAGATATAATTGGGGAAAAAAGTAAAACTTTGACCAAACCTATATTATTCTCAATAAACCTGAAGGTTAAAAAACGTTCGCTAAAGATGAATCCAGAATTACTAAATTTAAAAAAGACAAAAATGGATCGTCAGCATAAATATATGCATAACAACTTACAGTTAACAACGATAGCCAATATTTCTTCTGTACCAAAGTTATGACTGGGATAATGAGATGATGTTGCTGTAGCCCTACAAGTGTAGTTACCATGGTCTGCTCTATCTATATCATCAAATGACAAAGTAGGACTACTAGACTGTTGTCCCACCCAAATTACTGCTGGTGTTGGATTTCCAGTGGCATTACATGTAACAGACAGCGTTTTACCTTCATTTATCGTTATGGTAGTTAGTTGTTTCCCATAGGCCAAAACCTGTACTCTTGGAGAATCTGTAAAATTTGTGAAAATATATTCATTCTTGAGGGCATTATTTTAATTCATCCGAAAATAGTTTCATTTCTTTTCTATTTATTTCAGTACTTCTTACAACAACATAGATCTAAATACATGGGTTTTAAAGCATCGTAAGAGACAAAGACTTCAACGCGTCTTTGCTAACAACCGGAACCTTTACGGAGAGTCTACGTAGGTATCAAGCTTTAAGTAAACTGCCGGATTGACATTGTAACATTCTTGAATTCGGGTTTAAGTATATTTGAGTGATCGTTTCCGTGCTTTTAATACCAATTATATTTATTTTTCTTACATTCAACTTGTAATAGCACTTGTTTGGACTGAATCTGAAGACCTTTCCTTTGTGTAAATAAATTCTTTAGCTGACAGTTTACTGGACTTCTATCAACTTGATGTGTTAGTTTAGGTAACCTTAGTTTTCTTGTATCAGCACTATCAGGTGTTCCATATTGTGTGGTCCATGTTGCTGTAGCTGTAGGATTTCCATAATCAGACGAGGAACAATATATACTCTTTCCTGTCTGACCTTCTAGAAATGGAAAACTGCGTGTTGGTATAACAGGTGACACTGGTGGCCCTATGAATAAAATAATAATAATTAATGGTAAAATAATAAATAAAAATTGTAATTATACTTTTTATCAAAGTCAAACAAACACAAAAATAACAAAACAGCGATTCAGCAAACTTTTAGTAAAAATTCAATTGTTTATTAGTTATTCCATATTATCTCCAAACTCTGTCTTAAACACTGAACATGTACCGTATCCGTCATTAATTTCAGTTTCCGCTGCAGTATTCAGAACCTAAGCATTCATGGAAAAGATATCTTTTAAATTTAAAAGATAGTATCAACAAAACCATAAGTCTATTGTCTGTAAATTCTGAATATCTTTAAAACTACAAAGCAGTATTATTTTTATATTATTTTCTACAACAGCAATGATGCTCTGAATGATGATTTTGTGTACAAATAATAACACAACTGGACATATCATTTTGTTTTTATTTTACACACACAAAAGTAAAAAAGATAAACTAGTATTTTTTTTCATTCTACTTACAATACACAGTTATCTTTTCTTGAACCTTCACTAAATTTTGACCAGGTATTGCAGTTTCACAGTATATTGTTTTGTTGTTATCAGTTCTATTTGCTGTAAATGTTACTATACTTGTAACAGATTTAAGATCATTCTCATGACTATGTTCTGTATTCTGTACATCAGTCATTGCTAGAGTGTCTAACTTCCATGTTACTATAGCAACAGGTCGTGTTTGAGAGGAAGTGCATTGATATTTTATTTGATCTCCTTCTAACTTCTCTGTTGTCAGATCTGTGATTGTAGGAGAGGTAGCTAATACTGAAAAATTAACAACACCATCTTTTAAAAAGAATATAAACGAGTATGTCCCATCAAGCAAACCTACTAGAAATTCTATTCTATACTTTTAAATGTAAGCTTTATAGAAGAATAATAATAATATATATAATATAATATATAATATCGAGTGTCCCGTAAGGTTGCATGTTTGTTTGTTGTTTTTTTACAGTTTTTATTCCACCGAAGTGGGTTTTCCTGAGTGACAATTATTATCAATTTCCCCGCAAGTGACTTATTACTATTTCTTAATTAGAGGTATTAGACAAATAACCATTAGACTCAATAATAAAACGTTATAAAAAGATATTTATATTATTATTCATTTAATCAAAATCAATGTTTGGCTATGGTATGAAGCTAGAACATAATTTTAGTAAAGTCCTATGTTAAAAGAAAGATTGTTGCGGTATAAGAATTTATAAAGCATTTCTTACAGTTTGAAGCTTATAAAAAGTAAAATTAAATTATTACAGAGTTAATGTAGAAATATATATTAATAAAACGCAAAAGAAATCAAATTAAGTTAAACATCGAGAAACGATTTCACTCCATCTGAATTAATTCTAGCTGTTGTAAGACAATATTTGTGGATGTTGTTTTGAGTGACACGTCTTCCAGTAAATAAATGAAAAAGTCATCTAACATTGTGAGCAAATCGATTACAGACGTGATTGTTTCTTTATCCAAAAGGACAACAACAACACTTATTACAAATTTGACACAGACAATGGATTTGGCTAAATAAAAATGAAAAGCATCTTGTTCAACATACATATATTACTTTGCATTTTCATAACTTTTATGAGACATTCAAAACCTATGTAATCGGTTCAGATTTGGCCATATTATCCGAAAAAAAGAAAACAATTTAAACATTTGTGGTTATGCTTTGGTTAGGTTTATTTTTCTTTTTTGACGAATTAGAAAAAAAGACAACAATCTGAGTTTAATATTTTTCCTAACGAAACATTCTTCGTTTGCAAAATCAACTTCGTTTGAGAACGAACTAAAAGGTAAGTATGAATTATTGAATCTAAGATTTTTTGCAACACAAACTATGCTATGTTTTTCTTTGAAGCTTTCAGAAAATTAATTCGAACATTATAGCGAAAATCACAGGAAACATACTTAATGATACACTACAGCGAAATATATCAAATGAAAAAATAGAAGAATTATGTGGAGTAAATATGTATTTTTTATTTGTACCATCATAAACCTATAAGGAACAATGGTCCCAAAAACGTTGATACAAATTACTCAAAAGACAGACACGTTTAAATTTATATACAATACATTCTTTTAATTTAAAATTTGTATTTCTTCGTTATAAAAACCGCCATCTAACCATTAAGTGTTGGTCGTGTAAAAAGACAATTTTACTGAATGTTACAGTTTATTTTTTTCAATTGTTAGGAAAGTTCGTTAGAAAAGTACCTGCAAATCTAACATTAGCAGACGTTTGTGTAAAAAGTTGATCTTCTGTCCCAGTTTTTGATATGGCACCACACTGAAACTTCACACTGGTATCTGTATTGTCAGTAAACACTGTATATCTTGATAGAGTTAATGTAGATGTATATATTTTCTCAGAATCAGTACAACTACCATTTTTCTCGGTTACAGGTGCTGTTGTTGACCATTCTTGGCGAGATTCACTTGTCTGTAAATGCAACATAACACTTATTGAATATATATACATCTATCTCACTTTTTGACGTTACTTTGTACTCATTTGTTTATAAATGCCACAAACTTAAACGGAATTCAATAATCTTCGTCTTTGAAACAAGTAAAAACATAACATTAATTTAAATAGTTTTAGAAACAATGTAATTAATATTGTATCTTAAATATATATTACCTTATTATAATACCATGCGAATTTGGGTGAAGGATATGCGCATCGTGTGCTACATTTATAAGTCACTGCATTTTGAACGAGGTCTTGGTTCTGGCTTGGTGGATTATCATATTGTAGTGATGGTGTGATAGCTTGAATGGAATAGACAAAACATACATTAATTATGATATCACTCACATAGTAAATTATGCCTCGGTAATTATGTAAAGCTAATAGCCTGTCATGTAAAATATTTAGGAAAGCAAAATAAACACCCTGTGGTGGGAGAATTAGGTGGTGAAAGCCACGCAAACTCTTTTCCCATGCAATATGTTTTAGCTGTTTCTTTATCTATTGTTTGAGCAACGAGAGCACCGCATGCGGTTTAATGCTCATCTGGGCAACGACTATCAATAAGCAAATTTTATCTGACACAAGCATGGTATGTTTTTATCATATTTATCATATTACATTAACTGCTGTTGAAGTGCATACTTCATTATTATAGCTTATGAGTCACCCCAGATATCTCATAAATGCATATATAAAAAATTGAAAGACACGGAAATAAAATGAGCCGCGTCACGACAAAACCAACATAATGGTTTTGCGACCAGCATGGATCCAGACCAGCCTGCACATCCGTGCAGTCTGAACAGGATCCATGCTGTTCGCTTACAAACTCTATAACAAATAGAGAAACTGATAGCGAACAGCATGGATCCTGATCAGACTGCACGAACGTGCAGGCTGGTCTGGATCCATGCTGGTCGCAAAACCATTATGTTGGTTTTGTCATGACGCGGCTCAAATATAAAAACATGATACATAGAATGCCAAACAATTTAATATTATCAATTTTAAAGTTAAAAAGGGACATGACTCCTAGAAGTATTGATTTTAAAGTTAAAAAGGAATATTACTACAACTAGAGTTTTCCGCATAGGTGGCATATTTTGAATGGAAAAAAGTTTATTATTTCAAAAAATATATTTATTTACCAAAGTATAATGCCTGTGTTTGAATTAGTAGTATACTTACTGTATACAATAAGTTGCATGTGTTTCCTTTGGTTGTTGATGGCACAAGTC